CATGAGCTGCTCAAGTATGAATTTGCCATTGAGTTTGAGGTGAGTGTGGTTGAGGAGGGGGGAGGAGAGGGAGAAGCTGCTCCCCCCTCCCTTTTCCCCAGTGTCCCCATGCTTTCCCTGTGTGTGTGTTTTCCTCCCCCAACCCCCCCAGATCCCAGTGACGTACCCCAACACTGCTCCTGAGATCGCCATCCCAGAGCTGGATGGGAAAACAGCCAAAATGTACAGGTGGGTGAAGGGAAGGCAGATCCTACAGATCCTACAAGGGGGTTTGTGCTCGGTTTTGGGGAGGGGGCTTCATGTTTTTTGGGGCAATTTGCTCCTTTTTGGGGGTGCGCATCTTTTAGTAGGGGTTATGTGCTCGTTTCAGGAGGGATTTTGAAGCGGGGGGGGGAGGCAGCACATTTGGGAGGGATGCTCATTCAGGAGGGAGGATTCCCTTTTCTGGGGGGATTTGCTCTTTTTTGGGGGGTGGGGGAGAGGGGAGGGAGCTTATTTTTGGGTGGGGCTCTGGGGACGCTTCATTCAAGGGAGGGAGTACTCATTTTTTGGGAGGGAGCTCCTTTTGGAGGAGGGGTCTCATTCTGGGGGACCCTCACAGTTGCCCCCTCCTTGCAGAGGAGGCAAAATCTGCCTCAGTGACCATTTCAAGCCCCTGTGGGCCCGCAACGTTCCCAAGTTTGGTTTGGCTCACCTCATGGCACTGGGGGTGAGTGTATGGGGGGTGGGACGGGGGTGTCCCCATGTCCCATCCCCCCCCTGGATTGAGGGGGGTGGTGACCTGGGGGGCTGCTCACCCTGTCCCCCCTACAGTTGGGTCCATGGCTGGCAGTGGAGATCCCCGACCTCGTGGCCAAGGGACTCATTCAGCACAAGGAGAAGTGAGCGGCGCTCATGGGGGGGGTTTCCCTCTCTCTCTCAGGAGGTGCCGCCCCCCGCTCCCCCATCAGTCTGTGCCCCCTCCCCATTTCCAATAAACTCTGCAGCCCTCACCATGCCCCTGTGCTGCTCTGGGGGCCCCAACGCACGGGGGGAACCCTCAGGAGATTGGGGTCTCTCTTCGCTTGACCCCCCCCAGCGCACACAAACCGCGAGAACCGCGACTCTGCGATAGCGCCCCGATAAGGAGCGCTGTTTCTTTAAGAAGTCTGTGCGCGGCGGCGCCTTTAAGAGCAGAAGGGGCGGTGCCTCGTACAGCGGAAGGGGCGTTGCCTCACGAAGCGGAAGGGGCGGGGCTAAGCGGCACGTCGCCATAGCGACGCGGAGGCGTCAGGCGGAGGGGGCGGGGCTTGCCGCGGCGCATGCGCAGTGCGGCGCGCGAGGCCGGCAGTGGGCGGGGCGGCGGGCGGGGGAGCCAAGATGGCGGCGGGCGCTGCGGGAGTTGTTGCCATGGCGGCCCGCGGGAGGTGCGGAGGGGTCGGGGGGAGGAGGAGGGAGCTGGGATGGGGCCGGGGGGGCACCGAGAGGGGTGAGGTGGGGGGGTGGGGATGGGTTGTGGGTTTGGGTTGAGGGGGAGGTGATTGGGGGTCA